TCTGTTTACTTTGCACAGCAATTTGTGTTATCGGCCTTGTTATCCTTCGGCGTTAAATCGCTTATGGGGATTAATAAAAACTAGTGGCCCCACAGTACTCGAAATTCGACTGTAATTAATTGAAATTATAAGTTTAAGCATTATTATAGTTCTATTGTCAAACACTATTATATTTCGAAAATATAATCACAGTATTCGCCAAAACTGCACTATAGATAAATAATATTAAAGGCAAATAATATTAATCTATTTTCAATTCGACCACAGACTTTAAACAATAACAAACTTTAAACAATAACAAAAGTTTCCCACAATTGACAGTAAACAGAGAGTATATTTTTGTGTATGTATTGTGTCAAATACATGGTAGTGTGTGTAATGTTTTCTTTATTGATTTAAAGTACTTTTTATGCATTATTTTCAAAAAATATTAGCATTGTTCACTCCTTCTCTATATCTATATATATAAAAGAAAGTCGTGTTAGTTACACCATTTATAACTCAAGAACGGCCGAACTGATTAGGGTGAAAATTGGTGGGGAGGTAGCTTAGAACCAGGAGAAGGACATAGGATACTTTTTATCACGTTCCCGTGGGACGTGACATAAAACATTGTATAACAAAACGCAACTGATATGGAATAACAAAACGCAACTGACAGCTAAACGTAATGACGTATTCTATGGATAATTACTCGAATATATTAAGTGTATAATCTATGGTTAATTATAGTAGAATTTTGAAGTTCACCGGTTGATGTGTTACTTTCGAGTTTATATTAGCTTTTGTGCCGAGATGGGTAGTCATTATGAAAGCCATGCCGGAACCAACACGAACAAATCTTTCCCGACGAAGCCGTAATGCAACTAGAATTCGAGACATTGCGAGTGAAGGGACTGAAAATAATAATAATAACAACAAAAATACATGGCCAATAAAGAATCATTAAAATGCTGGCTTTTTTTAATTTACATTAATTATACAAATAAAAAAATTATCTTGATAAAATCAAAAGTCTGCTTATTTATTGCCTCTAAAGCGGAACAAAGTTGGCCGGGTCAGCTAGTTCTCTATAAGTGTGAGAAATTTCATACTCCTCCGTCCGCGCAGTTTTCGTAAAAAGGGATCAAAGTTTTTGCTTCACGTATTAATATATAGATATGATGGTTACTTGACTAAATATTTTACTACTAGATAGATGATGTTGTTGTTACTACTGTTTTAGTGTTGAGTGGTTACAGGAGCCCATTAAGAGTAATTTGAACACCCAACTTGAAATGTGAGGTTGAAGCTTATTAGATTATAGTAACGGCTCTCCTTCTCTTTAAACCGAAATGCATATATATTTCGCGGTAGAAATAGGATTGTTGTTATTACTTAATCTATATCAATATGGGCAACGTGTCCTGCTTTCACTGTTTAAAATAGAAAGCCTCCAATAATTTATTTGTAATAATAGTAATTACTTTCAATTGAAAAAAAAAATAACAGTCACTTTCACTATGCAATAATACTTAATAATAATAATTGTACTTAATTTTGTATTTAATGTAGCGCATTTTTTTTTTGGTGTACCATAAAGAATACTCTCTCTCTCTCTCTCTATCTCTCTCTTTCTCTCTCTCTCTCTCTATCTTTCTCTTTCTCTCCCTCTCCCTCTCTCTCTCTCTCTCTCTCTCTATCTCTCTATATCTCTCTCCCTCTCTCTCTCTCTTAATAATATCAACGTTTTTATTGCTTAGACTATTACTATATATGCATAGGAAAGCGAGCTTGCGGCTCATGAGGTGTTAAGTGATAACCAGAGTCTTTAGACATTATTCACGTAAATGCCGCTACCCACATTGAGACATAAGTAAGTCTTAGTTCTACAGTATGATGAATGCTCCACCCTTCAAACCGCAAAAAATTGCTGCTTGGTGCCAGAAATAGGTAAGGTGGTGGTATCTACCCGTGCAGACTCACAGGACACCCTATCACCAGGGACTACTAAGTACTATTAAGAACAAAAACTATTTTATAACACAAAGACAACGATAATCTTAAAATCGATTAAGCTATTGAATATTCAAACAATTTGTTGTTTATAATAATTGAAAACTTTAGTAAACACTTAGCTAGCTCTAAAGGGATGAGAGATCCGTTAATTATAATAACAATTGGAATCCAACTTACATTTTATCACTTTAAATAGTCTGTCGATCATTTTCGAATTACTATCGTGAAGTTCAATGGCCTTCCCAAACTGAGATGTTTAGAATTCCATTTAATATCAAGGAGTTAATAAATTCACCGCCAAAACCTTCAGAGAGAAGTAATTCTCATTCGAGTGTCGATTACATTGAGAAATCTTAGGCTAGCTAAATTTGATTATTAAATTGGATTACTAGTGGCCATTTTATTATTAAATTATTTTATTATTAAATTAACAAATTGCCGAAGACCGGGCAAAGAGAAAGAGTTCAATTTGGAAAGCAGACCCTGGCATTAAACCGGGACAATGCTAAGAAGAAGAAGACCACTACTGGCAGGGCGCCTGGTGAGCCTATATCTTAGGCTAATCTCTGCCTGATGCAGAACGAAGCATTAATGCTTTCCTGTTGAAAAGATGGGTCAACTGCTTTACTACTAGAACTACAACTTAACAACTTAGAAATAATGTCTCAAGATCTGTGGTGAAAATGACATGTATGATGTCTATGGGCTCAGCCCAAACAAACCCTAAACATATATTTATTTATTGCATAGGCAAATGAACAGACTCACGGAACACCTGAGATTAAGTGTTTGGCGAAACCCACAGAGATTTTTTATACAGATTTTTTTAAAATAGAGATTACCTACGATTACATCATGTATGAATTCCGCTACCCACAAGCACCGGTCACCGTTCTCGTCGAACCCGTCGCTTGCGACGAAGGGCTCGACGAGCGAATTAACCCATAGACACAGCCCATTGAGTTTCTCGCCGGATCTTCTCAGTGGGTTGCGTTTCCGATCCTGTGGTAGATTCTGCGAGGCACTGCTTTTTTGCTTTGAGCCCCGTGAGCTCACCTACTAGTTAAGGCTACGCTGAAATAGCCTCTCAAGGCCATCAGCTTAGGTAGGAAGAAAAAAAAGCTCTGAACAGGTGCGCATGATTGCTCCGCACCAGAAATAAGCAGGGGTGTGGTATCTACCCGAACGAACTTAAAATACCTTCTACAACAACCTTCCGCAAGCAAAACTTTACAATTCTAATCTCATACAAAGTCGTTTGAGATCTGTCCGTTCGTGTTTTAGATAGAAATGATCTGAATAAAGAACAAAAAGGAGGTAATAAAATTACAATATTCTCTGAACATTTCCCCATTCATAACATCCTTAAATTCGAGGGAATCGTAATAGATATTCACATCTGACGCTCAAATTAGAATTTTATTAATATGATAGAACGTATTGTAGCCTTGCGAGGGTAGGTACCAATATCCGCTTATTTCCGGCTCAAAGCAGTTATGCGTTTCTGTTTGAAGGGTGGGGCGGCTGTTGAACAATAAAATCAAGATTCGACCTCATGTCTCAAGGTGAATGACAGCATTTCCATTTGATGTCATTTGAAGCTTTGGTAATTACTTAATACCAGATACGGCATGAGCTTCTGTTCCCGTCCGTAAAAATAATAATCGAATCAGCATTTTCTTTCCAGGGTTCTGTTAGAAGTTTTATAAGAGTTAATAATAAACTTATTAATATTAACTTAGTTTATTTACGAATTCCTAACGTAGGGTTGTCGACGACAAGATAACTGGATAAATTTAAATGGATTGTTTGAAACTAAAGATTGAAATCTAATGAAACCAAATAAAATGAAGATGCTGAAAAAATGGGAAACAAATTTAGATTATGACATCAGAAGAACATAATTGCAAATCTTAGCTTTAAGGGTTGTCGAATCTGAGAAATTAAAATTCTTGAATGCTATTATCAGTTTCTATCACACATAACATCATGAATGACTTCACGATGAAAGAATGACATTAAGCCCATTTCATCGCTTCGATTTGAAGGGATGGACAGCTGTTGTTTTAATCCAACTGAGACCTTGATCTCATAGCTCAAGATGAGTAGAGTTATGGATTGGCTCGGGTAGCTTAACACTAGTTGAATATTGAACATGTCTGCCAACGTATAGCAAAATTGATCTACCAATTGTGATTTAAAATACTAGCTTCTAGCAACCCTATTTTGGTCGATTACACTATGTCACGTCATTTGTTTCGTTCCTATCTATATATTAATACGTGAAGCAAAAACTTTGCACCCCTTTTTACGAAAATTGCGCGGACGGAGGAGAATGAAACACTTACACTTATAAAGAATATAGAGAAGGAGTGCACAATGCTAATATATTTTTTAAATTATACATAAAAATACATTAAATGAATAAAAACAAAACATTACAAATACTACCATGTATTCGACACACACTAATACACATAAATATACTCTTTGGTTATTGTCAATTGTCAAACTTTTGTTAGTGTCTGTGGTCAAATTCAGAATAGATTAATATTGTTTGTCTGTAATGTTATTTATCTATAGTGTAAGTTTTGGCGAAATCTGTGATTATGTTATAGAAATATAAGTGTTTAATAATAGAATTACTGGTGGTAGGACCTCTTGAGGGTACGCGCGGGTAGGTACTACCAGCCTGCCTATTTCTGCCGTGAAGCAGTAATGCGTTTCGGTTTGAAGGGTGGGGCAGCCGTTGTAACTATACCTGAGACCTTAGAACTTATGTCTCAAGGTGGGTGGCGCATTTACGTTATAGATGTCTAGGGGCTTCAGTAACCACTTAACACCAGGTTGGCTGTGAGCTCGTCCACCCATCCAAGCAATAAAAAAAAAAACCATAATAATGTTTAAACATACAATTTTAATTAACATTATAGTCGAATGCGGGACCACTAGCTCAATTTTAAATGACTAAAAAGATTAAAAGGTTTTTTTTATGTTTCTAGGTAGCCTGGATTCGAGCTGATGATCAAACTATCCTCACACTCCACACGAGGCTGGTGACGCACAGCTCTCGGTATGCGGTCACCAACGATTCTCCGCATTCCTGGCAACTCCACATAAGACCTTTGAAGGTAGAAGATCGAGGCTGCTACATGTGCCAGATAAATACCAGCACGATGAAGAAGCAGATCGGCTGTGTGAATGTACTAGGTGAGAATTATCTTTTAACATTAAGTCGTCGTGGCCTAAAAGATAAGACGTCCGGTGCATTCGTATCTAGCGATGCACCGGTGTTCGAATCCCGCATGCGGGTACCAATTTTCCTCACGAAATACGTACTTAACAAATGCTCACGGCGGACTTCCACGGTGAAGGAATAATGTCGTGCAATAAAAATCAAACCCACAAAATTATAATTTGCGTAATTACTGGTGGTAGGACGTATTGTGAGTTCGCACGGGTAGGTACCACCGCCCCGCCTATTTCTGCCGTGAAGCAGTAATGCGTTCCGGTTTGAAGGGTGGGGTAGCCGTTGTAACTATACTGAGACCTTAGAACTTATATCTCAAGGTGGATGACACATTTACGTTGTAGATGTCTATGGGCTCCGGTAACCACTTAATACCAGGTGGGCTGTGAGCTCGTCCACCCATCTAAGCAATAAATAAAAAAAACCTTGATAGTCTTGCATCGAAATGTGCGTAATAGAAAAATTACGAAAGCCATAATACGATATGGGTCGATGTAACGTTTACTAACTGTTTCATGTGTGAAATATAGTCCGTAAAATAAATACCTATCGCTATTTCCGCGCGAACGAGGGTTAAAATAAATATATATTTTTTCACTCAAAGAGTTGAAGAGTTTTCTCGGTACATTTACTTCGTTTGTCCATCATTACAAGGGCTCGGGTTTTGGCTCAGAAAAACAACGGTGAAGCGAAAGTAGAGGAAACTGCCTTTGCGAGGCCATTAAGTACCCATCTTCACAACATCTATATGTCGGGTGGAGTTTTCGTAAAACACGGCAACACGATATTAAGAACTTTTCTTCGTCCGGGAAGCTCATTCTCTTTATTCTTTTTTTTTTTTTTTACACAATTATTTAGGACTAGTGGTCCCGCAGTAGTCAAAATTCGATTATAATTAATTGAAATTATAAGTTTGAATATTATTATGGTTCTATTGTCAAAGACTATTATTATATTACTATAATCACAGATTTCCCCAAGAAAGATAAACAATATTAAGTTATTCTCAATTTGACTGCAGACTTTAAACAATAACAAAAGTTTGACAATAAACAAAGAGTATGTGTGTGTGTGTGTCAAATACATGGTAGTGTGTGTAAGTTTTCTTTATTGATTTAATGTATTTTTATGCGTAATAAAAAAAAATATTAACAATCTGCACTCCTTCTCTATATTCTCTATAAGTGTGGGAAATTTCATACTCCTCCGTCCGCACAATTTTCGTAAAAAGGGGTACAAAATGTTTGCTTCACGTATTAATATATCGACGTTTGAAAGGCAAACGTGACTAAGCGACAATAACTGCTTTGTACATAAATGATAGGCAATAACCATATTTTATGCGCAAAAAAAAATATATTTCTAGATCTATTAAAATCATTTCAATCCTACAGCTACTAGCTAGATTCTACTACAGCTAGATTCGTTAAAATAAATTTTGTTTTCAGGTATTTCGACTTTAAATTAGTCTACTGTAAAGTTCATGCATTGTCGCTTAGTCACTTTTGCCTTTCAAGCGTCGATATAGATAACTTCATAAGATAGATAAACCTTAATACTTTAGTTTGAACGAAACACACGCGTGCTAATTTTATATTGTTAATTTAAATAAAATCATAATAGTAGCTAAGTTTCCTGTCATATTGTTGATTATTTGAACGATTTATTAAAAACTGCTTTTCGATCCTATTAGGGCGTGGCGTTAAGAAATTATGTTTCATTTTCGTAACAAAGATTTTAATAATTCAATTCGCTCCTGTTGTTATAAATACTAGAGGTCCCGCAGTAGTCGAAATTCGACTATAATTAATTGGAATTGTAAGTTTGTTCACTATTATGATTGTATTTTATACTTCTATAATCACAAATTTCGCCAAGACTACACTATAAAAAATATTAACAAACACAAACAATATTTAATCTATTCTCAATTTGACAACAGACGTCAAGAACAAAAGAAGATTTAAAGTACCTTTTACGCATTATTGAAAAAAAAAATTAGCATTGTGCACTTCTTCTCTACATTCTCTATAAGTGTGGAAAATTTCATACTCCTCCGTCGGCGCAATTTTCGTAAAAAGGGATACAAAGTTTTTGCTTCACGTATTAATTATAAATATATCTAATATCTAACATATACTATATACTATCTAATATTACTGGTGATAGGACCTCTTGTGTGTCCGCGCGGGTAGGTACCACCACCCTGCCTTTTTGTGCCATGAAGCAGTAATGCGTTTCGGTTTGAAGGGGGGGCAGCCGTTGTAACTATACTGAGACCTTAGAACTTATATCCCAAGGCGGGTGGCGCATTTGCGTTGTAGATGTCTATGGGCTCCAGTAACCACTTAACACCAGGTGGGCTGTGAGCTCGTCCACCCATCTGAGCAATAAAAAATATATATATAATATGTCAAGATTAATAAGGCCTAGTTCTTTACATATTACCACATTACAATATATATCGCGCTGATCCATGATATCCTCTGGAGTACATAAAGGCAGCGATTGTTAAATGAGTTTGCACTTATTAAATTTCTAATAAGTACATTTTTCGTAATTATAATCCTAAATAATAAAGTAGAAACTCCTCGAAAACCTTTTATGAATTCAGCTGCTGTTGTGATAAGTTGAAAGCTATATTCAGAATCGTTAAGTAGCATCTAACTTAATTTCGGTGGAACTACTCAGAGGCTTGACTTCGTAACTTTTGAACGTGTTACTTTCCGAAGTTTTAATAAGAGCGGATATAATTATTATAAATATTTATGGAAATACTTAAGGTATCAAACTAGAAAAGAAACAATACGAGTAACTATAACAAGGCTACGTAATTATCATCATAAATTTCGCAACCATGCTTCTGGCCCTCAATACAGATAAGACGCCCGGTCTACTCTTATTGTAGGACTATGGTATATAGCGGTGTGATAATAATAGGGGTTAAAGTATGAAATTGCCGTTTTATTGTAATAGATACTTCGAATTGACATAGAACCTTCATGGTTTGAGGTTTTTGAGTGAAACTTTTTTCAAATGGCACCTACCTCTGAGGTTCTTCTTTTAAAAATGTGCAACATTCGATTATTGACTTTCAGTTGCTTTTTTTTTATTCAGTTTAGACAAGAAAGATGGGTACTTCGAAAATTCGAGTGATTTTTGAATACGAGTTCCGACGCGGAACTAACGCTGCAGAAACAGCTTGCAATATCAGTGTAGCGCTTGGAGAGGGGACTGCTAATGAACGCACCGTGCTATTTTGGTTTAACCGCTTTCGTGGTGGAGATTTTGATTTGGAGAACGAGCCACGTGGAAGACGTATTCTGTGAAAACGTAAAAGTCTAAATTAAATTTTGTAGAGAAAGAAATGGAACATTCAAAGAACATTCAAATCTCGACAAATAACACGTAAATTATTCCTGACCAAGAAAACCGTAAAGTAATCAAAACGTCAGAAATAATAGGACAATGACAATATAAAACGCTAAATCAAGCCTGCAAAAGTAGTATTAATTGTGTGATAACACGTATTTAGCTGGCCATGTTAATTTAAAAAGAAAAAAATCGCTTTGTTTAAATTCTAAAAAAAAGTCATCCGAATAGTCGGTATCGCCATGCCGAGACAATGACCTCAAAGACGTCAGTGGGTAGATAATGGGTTGTAAAAAATTAAGGTACCACTTAACACTCGATGGACACCTTACGACCGGCTTGTCAACAAATCTACATCATTAAAAAAGGTGATGTTATTATTTTAGAAGTAAACGGCTTGTACATTATAATACGTGTAGATATGTATATATTTTTTTTTATTGCCTTTGTAGGCAGACGAGCATACGGCCCACCTGATGGTAAGTGGTCACCGTCGCTCATGGACGTCAGCAATGCCAGGGGCAGAGCCAAGCCGCTGCCTACCATAAAGAACTCTCCGCAAGCCTCATTTGAAGAAGGACATGTCATAGCGCTCGGAAAACACCGTGGAGGGGAGTTCATTCCAAAGCCGGATGGTACGTGGCAAAAAAGATCTTTGGAAACGCACTGTCGATGAACGCAGCGGTTCCAGATAATATGGATGAACTCTGCTCCGATGGCGGGAGGTGCGATGATAAAAAGGAGATGAGGGAATCCATGCGGTATAAAACACAGAGAGAACCGAAGTCCCTCCGTAGACCCAGAGGTTCCAAGCGATCCGCGAGAGCAGGACTGTCGACCATCCGAACAGCCCGTTTCTGTATGGAGTCAAATGGAAGTAGCTGGTATTTGGGAGCCCCGGCCCAGAGGTGAGAGCAGTTCCCCACGCGAGGTCGGACCTGCGCTTTATAAAGCGCAAGTCTCTGTCCAGGCGTGAAATACCGCTTCGCTCTGTTGAGAACTCCCAACATTTTAGAGGCCAATTTGGCTTTACCTTATTACCTTTATATCTTTTAAATGAAGAATAAATAAATAGTCTTTCATTGCCATTTACAAAACTTTTACCAGTACACATAACAAAAGAAAAGCAGACGTGAAAAATCAAAAGACCCTGTTAATGTTGCTTGAAATAAATACATACTTCGAATTTCAAATTCGATATATCGAAAAGCAGATGGTATCGGTAACTTCTATGTCAAATGTTGTATACTTAGCGTGACCATAATTTTTTTTTGTCAAAGCGGGTCATCTGCGGAATTATATAATAAAAAAAGTATTTAGTGCTTTATAAGTATTTTCTTATAGAAGACACAGAATAATCAAAGTACTGAACACAAAATAGTTAGTACTCTGTAATAGTATGTACCTCTTTTGTTAAATTAACCCATTTAAGCCCTTCTAGCTCTATGTTGAATTGAAAAATAAATTTATCGTTTGGTCTATTTGGAAAAGCGGAACTATGTCGGCCTCACTGCCCTCACTGGGGACAGCGTGACAGAATGCCCGAAAGCGGGACTGTTCCGCCCAAATTTGGACGTATGGTCACATT